GGAGCCGTGCCCGGGGCCACCGCGCTGCCCTCCCGGCTTTCCTGTCCCCGCGCTCCAGCCCGCAGGAATCGAAGCAGGGCCCCGCAAATAGCAGGGTCTTATGACACAGCCTCGCCGGGGAAGGAGCTCTGGGAGGCAGGGATATTTTTAGTGCCGAGACACAAGGGATTTGGAGATTGCTCGGAGGAGATGAAGCTGCGGCACAGGCAGGGGTTACGAGGTGCCGTGTCCTCCCTCTCTGCTTCTCCCCCCGCGCCGCTTTTCCCAGCTGGAGGCTCTGCCAAACCCGCTGCCTCCCTCGCACTCGCCGGGTGCGTTTCCTCTCGCTGGGGCCGCGGTTATTTTTTGCTGTGCTGCAACACGAGGTCAGACGTGCCAATCGAGAGAAGCCCGTGCGGGGAATTAACGCTCAGGCAGCCGGCGTGTCCGGGCATCCCCTCTCTGCACGGCCTGACCCTGCACAGCTCTCCAGGGCATCCCTAGCTCTCCCTGCCAGCTGCTTCTCCCAAGGCTAAAGGAGCCAAAAGCCCTTGGGATTTACCTTTGCCACAGAGGGGTTTTGCTAGGGCAGGGTGATGGGGAAGTTCTTGTGATCTTTGCAGGGCCCCCCAGAAGATGCAGTGGCAGCTGAGAAGCTGCATCTTCCCCCAGCTCGTCCTGCTCGCAGCACCACACGCAGGGAGCGGGAGCACAAGGTGCAGTGTGGCAAGCCAAGCAGCTGGGGGAGGTCCCGGGTCTCTCTGGAAGAGCGAGGTCAGGGGATCAGGCTGGGGGAAAGTACAGGGAGAAGGGCAACCTGCCTCAGCTCTTTCCTTCATCAGGAACCTGGTGCATGTTTGGTGTGACACCTCGCTTCAACTCTGTCCAACTCCCCATCACTCCCAGTCCCTTTTCACAGCTCAGACTGCTTTTCAGGACCTTCTTTCAATCCCTTAAAGTCTCTGCAAGGTATTACAGAGCCATGACCTCAAGAAAAGGCTCTCTCTTGGCCTTGTGCCTCCACTAACAAGCCCTCTCCCATCCTTGAATACACTCCTTCTTGGAGTGGGGGTTGTACCAGGATCCCATGGGCCAAGGAGGAATGAAAACCACCTCCCCTCCTAGTGGGAACACAGCCAGATAATTGAACCACGTGCAGCTCCTGGCCCAGACACTGGGTCGGAGAGCACCCTAAGCTGGTGCTTCCAGCACCTTCAGTCCTTGCCTGGCCCTTTCCCCATGCTACTGCACCCCAGGAATTGCACCTCTCCCAGCCCAATTTGCTGAGGGTATGGATGAGAGAGCTCACAGTGGTTTCCTCCACAGCCAGCCCTCCCTGGCTTTTCTCCACCACTGTGATGCCCGTGAGCCCACACCACGGCAGGGTCAGCCCCTTGGTGTGCAGGGCAGAGGGGACCAGCAGGGCTCCCATCCTCTCCCACAGCCCACCCTGCGAGCAGCTGCCTGGGAGCAGACCAGGAGGGGAGATCCCTGCCTGCATCTCCCAGGGACGATCCTGCCCTGCCTTCCCAACCTCCTTGCCAAGCGTTTGGCCCTGGTTCCTCTCGGAGCTGTGCCGGCTAATGAGCCCCGAGAGCCGGAAGGCTCTGAAGGCAGCGGGGTCCCGGGGTTCAGCCAGCGGGGCAGAGCCTGGCTCTGCATGCAGATAAACCCCCGGCCCCTCGGCCCAGCGGGCTCTGGCAATAACCATGACAATAGCAATAAAAGCCAGGCCACCAGCAGGTACCGACACATCCCCCGCCGTGCACAGGGGCCGCATTGTGTGTGCGAACGTGTCCCGCGGTGGGAACATGCCAGCCGGGTGAGACAATCCCGGCGGCTGACAGCCGGGGAGGGGAAAGCCGGGCTCCTTTCCTTTCCCCGCCCA